TAAGTGGACGCCCACACAATTGTATAGTTATTTAACGTCACAAAGTCCATTGAATTCACTGGCGAATGTTTCCGGAACCTCCGACAAGGGATAGGATAAGGGTTAATTTATGAGTGTGCAGCCCCTTCTAAACCACAAATCCACCACCCCAGGATGCGGTCGTCAAATAAGTAGCAAGGTAAACAATTGTTCGATAGATTGAGTGAACACCTTCGAAACATCGCTAAATATTGAATAATGTCCCATCTCATCCAGAGTTTTAGCTAGGGTTAGTTAAACGCAGTTCTGCATTAGTATCCTTGATACCTACAGTACTTTTTAAGCCCGGTTACTGGCAATAAGTGACTGTTACAGTTACAGGCATAAAAAGTCCCAGGCATCGGCAACCATTTTTACTGATATCGCGCAAAACAACGGCACATGTCCATAGTCCTGCTGACCTGACCCCCGCCACATGTCCGTAGTCTGACCATCGGCACATGTCCATAGTCCTGCTGACCTGACCACCGCCACATGTCCGCAGTCCTGCTGGCCTAACCACCGTCACATGTCCGCAGTCCTGCTGGCCTAACCACCGGCACATGTCCGCAGTCCTGCTGGCCTAACCACCGGCACATGTCCGCAGTCCTGCTGGCCTAACCACCGGCACATGTCCGCAGTCCTGCTGGCCTAACCGCCAACTCTATCGAGACCTGGGATGAACGTCACCCCTTTCCATAAGCAGGCGTGTAGTGACGTCACGCTAATGGCCCATAAGCAGGCGTGTAGTGACGTCACGCTAATGGCCCATAAGCAGGCGTGTAGTGACGTCACGCTAATGGCCCATAAGCAGGCGTGTAGTGACGTTACGCTAATGGCCCATAAGCAGGCGTGTAGTGACGTCACGCTTACCTTTTACAAAAATGTCACAGCGACGCACTTGTCAAGTAAAGGGGGATAACAAGTAGGGGCGATAAATCAGAGTTCCGCAACCGATGTCCCGCGGTACACTGATGTGCCACGAGATGATGCCAGGTGTGCCGCGCAATATACCCCCAAGAGGAGGAATACGAAAAAGTAGTTGTAAAAACATAAATAAAACGCACTGCTGCACGATGGACATTTGTGGACAACCTGTCTATATTGCCTTATTGCCTTAATGAACAGAATATATCGACCATATTTTATCAAGAAACATATTATGTTTATCATTAATCCTACCAAAGAAAAAAAAAACCTGACATATAACGACTATTTCGTCCAGGGATCAAGTGTGGGATCTCACCCATATTCCTTCCCACCCATATTCCTACCGACAAACATAAAAAAACTATAAAGAAGCTCCCATGCGTTCCTGCAGGATAAAACTTGTGTTTATCGATAATCTCCAGAAGAAGCAGCTTATTACTTTTTAAATCAACTATTTCAACAGTTGACGACCTTGCAAACAGCTCCGCGAACGACACCCCACCCCCACCCCCCCACCCCCGACTTGCTTCCCGTGACATGGTAAACAAACAGATTAACAGACAAGTTGAGAGATGATTGACTTGACCAGTGGTCGGGAGAGCGCGGCTCACGAGCCGCATGCGGCACTTTAACGACCTGAGTGCGCGCCTCGGCCAGTCGGTCACAAATCGGTTTTGACGTCGAAAAAACATGGTTCTTCACAATTCTCGAAAAGATATTTGGCTCTCACATTTTTTTTTTTTTAAATCGTCCTGCTGCTTATGTTTGGGCTCTTTTGACTAATGAGTTTGCCGACCACTGGACTTGACTAATGAGTTTTCCGACCACTTGACTTGACTAATGAGTTTTCCGACCACTTGACTTGACTAATGAGTTTTCCGACCACTTGACTTGACTAATGAGTTTGCCGACCACTTGACTTGACTAATGAGTTTTCCGACCACTTGACTTGACTAATGAGTTTGCCGACCACTTGACTTGACTAATGAGTTTGCCGACCACTTGACTTGACTAATGAGTTTGCCGACCACTTGACTTGACTAATGAGTTTGCCGACCACTGGACTTGACTAATGAGTTTTCCGACCACTTGACTTGACTAATGTTGTGAACTAGTCTGGTGTGAACTAGTCTGGTGTGAACTAGTCTGGTGTGAACTAGTCTGGTGTGAACTAGTCTGGTGTGAATGTTGGGTAGGGGGAGTCGTGAATCGTGAGAGTGTTTTGTGAGTTGTTGATCGTGAGGTCAGAGCGTGAAGTTAGTCAGTGGTGTGGAACGTTTGCGTAGGCTGCGTTTTTTGTGTGGTATTTGTGGTATTATAAAAGGGATGTGTGTTAGCTAGAGGTCAGTTAGAGGTCAGAGAAGAAAGGTAGAAGAGCAAGAGAAGAATTGTTAGGCGGCGAAAGTTGTCAGTTAAGAGTTAGTCAGTAGCGACAGGAGCGAGTGGATAATTGGTAGTTAGACTGATGTGTATCCTGTTTTGTAAAGAATCTAATAAATATTATATATTGTTACACTGGACCTTGTGTTTTATTTGAGAGATTCATACACCCTAGACAACGCGAGAGGGCCGTAACTTTTCAAGTATAACAAAGGTCGTAACAACTAACTCACAGTATGACGCCGACACCATCAGAACCAGGGTTCCTTATTTTGCTTATCACGGGAAAACGGTAAAGCAGTTTTCCTCACCCCGGGATGAAATTAATTTAAATAAAAAATACATTATGAACTGAATTGAGTTGATATGAGTTGAAAAAAGAGGTGATTTTGTGCAGTTTTGTTCCATTGTTGTTTTTCTATTAATGAGTTAAAAATGTTAAGGCTGGTCACTTTCTACTATTTGCTTCATTTTTTTCCCCACCGCTTATCCCTAATACTAATAGTGAATAACCAGATCATGATATGCTTGAAAAGGGAACATTTATTGGACATTACCGTCTTTCCAAAAACATCAACGCTTAATGAGTTTTGCCCTCTTTACATTCTAATTCTAGCTTCAAATCCCTCATGATATACTTACAAGTACAAGCAAATGTTTCTAACAGCATGTTACAAGGGGATCGTTTTGAATTAGAAAACTTTTTTGAATTAGAAAGTCTGTACTTTGGAATTGTGCTGTCTGTACTCTGGAATTGTGCAGTCTGTACTCTGGAATTGTGCTGTCTGTACTTTGGAATTGTACAGTCTGTACTTTGGAATAATTCTTGACAAACGACAAGACGAGCTGACTGACTGAGCTTGGCAAGTAATCGATGACCAATACAACCGAACTCATGAATCCCCACGCACTATTCTCGGCCGCCATTATGGGACGTGCTCCCGTCTGCATCCGTTTCAACTCTGAGTCCTCACAGTTAACAGTACTCACCCGTGTATTTGAAGGTAGACGGCCTTGGCGCCAAATCTAACCTTGTTTGAGACTACCTGCGAGCACAAGAGAATAGGCGAGGACAAAAAACGAAAGCGGAAACAGTCCGGATGGCCCCGATCCCCAGTAAACGGCCCTCGTATGTTTTCTCTGTCGCCCCTGAACGCCAGCCCCATGACCGAGCCGTTCCCCACGGGCGCTGTGCAGCTACCACGTGAAATAAGGCTGTGGTCGTGGTAAGCAGGGCCACGCTCGCCACCGTGGTGACGTGGATGGAGTCCACGACAACGAGGGTAACACTGGGTGTCAGGATGGATGGAGTCCACGACAGCGAGGGTAACACTGGGTGTCAGGATGGATGGAGTCCACGACAACGAGGGTAACACTGGGTGTCAGGATGGATGGAGTCCACGACAGCGAGGGTAACACTGGGTGTCAGGATGGATGGAGTCCACGACAGCGAGGGTAACACTGGGTGTCAGGATGGATGGAGTCCACGACAACGAGGGTAACACTGGGTGTCAGGATGGATGGAGTCCACGACAACGAGGGTAACACTGGGTGTCAGGATGGATGGAGTCCACGACAGCGAGGGTAACACTGGGTGTCAGGATGGATGGAGTCCACGACAGCGAGGGTAACACTGGGTGTCAGGATGGATGGAGTCCACGACAGCGAGGGTAACACTGGGTGTCAGGATGGATGGAGTCCACGACACCGAGGGTAACACTGGGTGTCAGGATGGATGGAGTCCACGACAGCGAGGGTAAAACTGGGTGTCAGGATGGATGGAGTCCACGACAGCGAGGGTAACACTGGGTGTCAGGATTATGGCGGGCCCTGAGCGCAAGCGTTAATGTGCGGGCAGCGCTCAAACTCGAGGAATGCCGTACACCACCTGGTTACAGTTACAGCCGGTTTTAGACCAACCACGGGTTATACGGGCCCCCTTAGCAGAAGAAAACACCAAAACAGACATTAAAAGATCAGTATTTACGCAAGATGCCGTCGCAACAGCTGGATTGTTTAGTTATTATATTTTCGATTCGATAGGGAGAACACCTTTCAAATATTTGTTTTTCTTTTATAAGTAAATGAATTCGTTTAAACGTAGGCCTATGATCCATCAAATGGTTAGGACCACAAGCGAATCAAATGACATGTTCTGGAATGAAAGGGAGGTTAGCACTTTAGAACAGTGGGTTGTAGCTCACACCTGTCAAAGTGAAAAAAAAATATATATAGGAGTCATTAGGAGAGAAGGTCGTCCAGGGCCAACCCGTTCAGGGCCACGCTCATGGTACCTTTTATTCTGGTGAGCACTAGGAGGACCAAGACTTTGGACACCAATAACCCAATGTTAATGGATGCGACAATAGCGGTTGAGATTTTTGAGGGGAAGCTACTCATGTTATAATCGTCTTGAAAATTTTATACAGATATGGGGGTAGTCTCCCTTTAACCAAAGTTTTATTGTATTCCGATGATTTCAACATAATCAAATGACAGTGAGAGTTTCTAATGCATTGTTAGAAACATTTTCAGTATAGAAGCATAATAATATTTATCTGTTATTCACTTTTCCTTGTGTTTGACTTTGTAACGCAACATTTATTTTTCTGAAGAAAAAGAAAAATTAACGTCTTAAATTTAAAATAAAACAAAAAATCAAAATCCTCTTTTTTTAAATAATTTAATTGAATGACCACATTATGATTTGTGGCACCATATTACAATCATTATATTCACAGAGTCCAATGATGAAAAAAACCAAAACAATTGGAGATGAGAAAACAATTCGCTCGTAGAATTTATACCAACAGTAACAATAATTAATTCCGAACATGAAGAAACAAATAATTTAATTTCAATTCATCACAATGCGACTTTTTAAGCTTTTTTTTTTTTAAAATATTGGTGCATTGTTTAAAGCTTTGAATGACAGTTAAAAGAATAAGAATATGAATTAACATTCCTGAACATGTATCAAAGAAATGGATGGTTACGAGAGATAGAGAATACTATTATACAGGGTTTATTTCTTCACCACCAGGATTTATTTCAGAGAACAATGATAGGTTGGGAGATATTTTTTATATAAAAAAACTAAATTTTTTTTACTTCATCTGCGCCAGGGGCGTCCACCCTTGGAGGGGGATGGGGGGCTTGGGGGGGGGGGTCACAACTCTTTTCCTTTTGGGAGGTGTTGGTCTAGTATGCATTTAATCATTTTAAAACTGAGGTGATATGGTGATATGAAGTTTCAACAAAAAAATTTTTTTTTAGGTTGGGAGATATTTTTTATATAAAAAAGTTAAATTTTTTTTACTTCGTCGGGGCCGGGGGCGTCCACCCTTGGGGGGGGGGGGGGGGCTTGGGGGGGGGGGTCACAACTCTTTTCCTTTTGGGAGGTGTTGGTCTAGTATGCATTTAATCATTTTAAAACTGAGGTGATATGGTGATATGAAGTTTCAACAAAAAAATTTTTTTTAAGATCCATTAATGAGTTTGCACCAAAAGGTGGCACACCACTGCTCTACACCATCGATCTGACCTACAGTTATATTATAAAAAGTTAGGAGTAGCAGTAGCGGAGATTATTCCATGGAAACTAAACTCCATTTCAGCATTGTACATAAGACAACACGATACAATAGTTTTAACAAGCAGTAAACAATGCAAAAATCAGATTTGACCACCCAGCAATCCACTCAATCACAAGTGGATGTCTCACAAACAATTATTCAAACAAATTTCAAGAAATCACAAGACTATGAATTTGTGACATTTTTTTAATTTTTATAAAAATCGACTCTATATTTTCATCAAAGATTTCAACTCATGGGTATTCTTAACTGTGTCACTTTTGTTCTTAAATCTTGAATTATGAAACATTTTTTTTCCCACTTAAATTTGCTTTTACTTTAAAAAAAAACAAATATAATTTGTGACTTTAATTTACCAGTTTTCAGCATTATCTTTTTTGTTCAGTGTCATGGTGGTATTGTGTGCCAACCAGTATCCTCATATTACATAGAGGACTTTGATTTGAGTAAAATGGACCATTGCTTTGTAAATATGATCAAACGTTTTCTTGGCATCTTTCAAAATTTTGAGGAATTGATTTTAAAACATACTTCTTGAAAAATTGACGGACCAAGATGACATTTTAAATGTAACGTTTGGTTTACTTTCCAGTACTTGGCCTATTTCACACAACAAAAATTTCTCCACAATATGTTCTCCTTACAAAACTTAATTTAAAGACCTCGAACAGAGAATTGCTGCTATGTTTTGTAGGATCTCATTGCTAAAATTCAACAATTCCATTATTTTTGTTAATTTTTTCATAATATTAGTGAAAGAAAAAATATCACAATGTAAATCAATATTCAACGAGGTATTGACAAATATTGACAGAAGCAGTTGGCGTGAGTTAAACTGAGATTGATTGAAATTTATCTTTAAAAAAAAAAAAAGCTAATCACAGAAGAAGGAACCCTTATTTCACAATGAAGAAATTTTTGCTTGAAATGACTAAATATATGATCACCAGATTTCAAAGAGCGACGACTCAGTTTCATATGCACTAGTTAATGCTACAAGCTAGGGCAAAAGCAAACAACTCAATCCTCCAAGATTTTAAGGATTGAGTGTGATCAAGTAGAATATTGAATCATTGAGTCTGTTTGGGCAGATCGAACTATACATTGTTATTATGTTGGATTGTTTAATCATTGGTTGAGATGGATTTTTGACAGTCTCAAGCTTTTTCCTATTTAAATATTAAAAAAAATATATATAAAAAAAGATTGTGACATAAATGCGCCATGAAACACAAAAATAAGAACCAACATTACAGAATCAATGTGTCATTCTTTCCCAGTGGTCAGCAGTTTCAATGCTTTGGTCAAGTTTTCTATCGCCGTGTTGGCATCCTCGTACTGCATGGCCGAACTGGCAAACTTACAGTACTTGATGCCCTTTTGGAACTGTTCAGGTGACAACTTGAGGCCAGCTAGATAAAAAGTGAGTTCTAAATGATGCATTACAATTTAAGATATCAATAGCGAGAAATGTCCGGGAAGCAATATGCCGATGGTCATTTCATAAAAAGTTATAAATAAAGATTATAAGACATCAACAATAGCTGTAAATAGCTGTTTACGAAGAAGTGTCAAAATCTATTGACCATAATAAGAAGAAGTAAAATAATAGTCAAACATGTCATATTAAGTCCTGTCCAGGGATGAGAAATTATTTTATTGGCAATTATTTTATAAATCTCTAATACTTCTCTTAAATTTAAATAGTGAGGTAAAAAAAAAAAAAAAGGTTTAAAAAAACCATACTTATCACATCATAGGTAATTTGAGAAATATATTGACAGACATTACCATTCACCATGAGGCTTACACCAAATAGATCCCTGATTATTTCCTCTAAATGAAAATGTAATATTTGCATTCTTTTTATCACAACAGACAACTTTTAAATGAAAGGCTTGTAAGAGGTCACATTTACTCTAAGCAAGTATAATATTTTGAGTTAATTTTAAACCCCCTCCCCCTTCCTCACCTGGATTAGGGGGTGGGGTCCAGTCAGATCCGGTGACAGCTCCTTGAGCAGACAAACCCCTTGGTGTCGGCTGTGGGTTTTTTTCTGGGTTGGGTTGAATTGATGCAGCTGACGGTGGCTGATAGTCATTGCGAGGAGGATCCTGTGGCGTGCTGGGAGGCGCGTAGGCACCCGGAGCAGGGTAAAGGCCACTGTCAGTACTAAATGTCATGTGACCTGGGGGCACATTGGGCCCTGTGACATTTTCAAATCCAATACCAGGAGATTCTAAATCTTTGAAAAAAAATTGTCATTTGAAAAAACATCACCAAATCTGAGTCATTATTAGACATATAAATATGTATGCCATTTCCTGTCTGTTTACCATTTCCTAATTATAAAAAAGTGTTGGATTGCAATAAAGCTTTAAAATAGATTAATAAGACACCAACAAATTGTGTCAATATAACAATATAAGTTACGCTTTAATAATGATTATACATTATACACAAGTAAACGTTTCGGCACATGCCTTCATCAGTACAAACAAAAAACACAGTTAAATAAGTATAAATTAAATTTACATAATATAAATATACATATCCTACCTAAAAATGAATAAAATAGGAGAGTGCGCTAAAATCAGACAAAAACAAAGTAAAGAGGAGTAGAAAGGAAGTGATTTGAACATAATTGTAAAAACCAAACAGGAAAAAGACATGGCAGCCTTAGGGACATGCTAGTTAGAAGCCACATCCCGGCTATTAAAGCATATAAAGACACAAAAAGTTGCAACCATAGCCGTTGTAACTCATGTCCCTATGTGATCGAAACTGATAAGATCACTTTCTCCCTGGAAGTATTCAGAATAAAAGATGGCTTTACCTGCACAAGTCGCAACGTGATTTACACCATCATTTGCAAAAAGTGCGGTAAATTATACATAGGAGAGACTGGTCGTCGCCTTGGGGACCGGTTCAGAAAACACCTCTATAACATAAATAAACAAGCTCTCTGTCGGGTCTCCAAACATTTCCATAGCCCTAACCATGATGGTATCTCAGACAACGCATTTACTTGTATACTATATACTAGTAACACTACAGATATAATCTATATGGAGAACAAATTAATAACAAGATTTGGCACGTTGTCTCCATATGGAATGAACCAAATCCACAATTTTACCTAGCTGCCATGTCTTTTTCCTGTTTGGTTTTTACAATTATGTTCAAATCACTTCCTTTCTACTTCTCTTTACTTTGTTTTTGTCCGGTTTTAGCGCCCTCTCCTATTTTTTTTCTTTTTTAGGTAGGATATCTATATTTATATTATGCAAATTTAATTTATACTTATTTAATGTGTTTTTTTGTTTGTACTGATGAAGGCATGTGCCGAAACGTTTACTTGTGTATAATGTATAATTATTATTAAAGCGTAACTTATATTACCATTTCTTTTATGTTTATCATTTCCTGTCTGTTCATCATGTCCTGTCATCTACATATCTATACCAGCTAAGTGTGTCAGTCTCTGTATTTATGCTGTGGAAGGCTTCTTGGTTGAAACATCCAATTTTTTTTATTGTCCATATTCAGGTTTTCCTCAAACATTATCATATTTCTTGTTGCTTCAACCAGAATTATTACACAAATCGAAAAATAATTCCTTACCAACAACTCAAAGGCTTGTTGGGCTGGTCTAAAGCAAATAACAGGATATACTCCTAAGCGTGAATGCTTGTGTGTTGAAGACGTGAAGAATTTTGTTAACGACTTAAATGACTTTTATTGTCGTTTTGACTGTCTGGACTTTGGAAGTGTACACAATGAGATGATGAATTCATTTAAAGATGGCAGTAGTACACAGGATGGTACTTCTTTGTTCTCCGAACAGGAAGTGATGTTATTATTTAAACAAGTGGACGCAGACAGGGCCTCGGGGCCAGACAAATTAAGTGGTCGGCTCGTTAAGCTATGCTCAGAGATGCTCTCCTATATTTTTTGTTACATATTTAATAAATCTTATGTAACTCACACAATACCAACACTTTGGAAAACTTCAGAAATCATACCGATTCCAACGAAAAATAAGGTAACTTGCAACAACGACTTATGGACAGTTGCACTTACCTCTGTTGTAAATGTTTTGAGAAACTTATTCTGAGACAAATCAAATTTTGAATGAAGTACAGCAAAAACTTGACCCCCCCACCAATTTGCTTACAAACCTGCAAGAAGTATGGAGGATGCTATATTACTATTGTTGGAGACACTTTACCATCACCTAGACAGTCCAAAAAATTATGCCAGAGTGCTTTTCTTAGACTTCTCATCAGCATTTAACACTATCCAACCACACCTTATGATAAAGAAATTATCCTTGTTAGGTGTAAATTTAAATATTCAGGCTTGGCTTTGGATACTGAACTTTTTAACAAATCGACCACAATATGTCAAGGTAAATGACCAATTATCTCTAACCAGAGAAATAAGCACTGGGGTGCCACAAGGCTGCGTTCTCTCCCCGGTACTGTATTCAATATAAACCAATGATATTCAAAGCTAAAGCGACACTCTTCCAATCTTAAAATTTGCTGATGATCAGACATCGATGGCTTAATATCTGAAGGAAAAGTCTTATACCGCAACTTAGTTACAAGCTTTATCAATTGGTGCGATGAAAATTTTCTCCAGCTAAATGACTTGATTGGTTGTTGATTTCAGGAGGGGGAACACCAGATTACAGATCTCAACATAAAAAATCAAAGTGTAGAGAAAGTAGAGGCATATAAGTACTTAGGCGACACCATTAATAATAAGCTAACATGGCATGTGCACGGTCAAATGCTGTATAAGAAATTCAACCAAAGACTGTTCTACCTCAAAAAACTTTACAATTTCGGCGTAAACAAACAAGTCGTTAACTGATTGTACAGTGCAACAATTGGAAGCCTATTTAATTTCAGTATTACCTGCTGGTGTGGGGGAATTCAACGCCTGATATTAAACACTGCATAAACTGACTAATCAAGAAAGCTAGGAACATAACACAAACTAAACATCTTTTACTGGAAGAACTATTTGAAGAAAGATGTTATTGTAAAACTAAACACATTTTGGATGATACTTCCCACCCTCTTCATCACAGATACTTAGGATCAGCCCGTTCAGGACAAATTCTTTCCGTCAGGGCGAGGACTGAAAGATATAAATATTCTTTTGTTCCCCAGTCTGTACGAATTTACCAGCGTGCTCCCCCTGAAGTCACAAATCTTAATGAGAACTAATATGTCCCTGATATGGCTAAGAGAACTCACGGAATGGCTGCTAGTGAAAAAATTTATTACAAACGTCTTGTTTCAAATTGTTTTTTATTATATGTGCTGAAAATGTACAATGCAATCATAAAACATTTCCATTTGTTTGGATCAATAAAAGAATCTTATCTTATCTTAAATAGTAATTCAATATGAATAAGTTAGCTACTATTAAAGTGCATGTAAAAAAAAAAAAAATGCAAGTCATCTATGTAAAGGTCAATTACAATTTAACATTTTAAAAGATTAACCAGTCATAAATTTACAACATTGACTTCCGTACATAACATTTTTTCATGTCATGTTAAAAAAATCCCTACAAAAAATTACCAACTTGAAGTATTAAATACTCAAAGGTATTGGAAGAGAATTTCTAAAAAAAAAAAAAAATTCATTAACTTCAATTTCAATCCTTGAGCAATATTTTATAATGGTGCACTAATAATAATAAACTATTTTTGATGCATAGAAATTTATCAATATTGACAGGCTTACTAACCTTCATCCCCTTCTTCAGGCAATGGGCCAGCCATAGGCGTCTCTCCATTTTGAAGACACTTATTGATATACAAGGCTTTCCATTTTGCATATTTTCTGTTCTTCTCAATCTGTTGAGTAAAAAAATTAATAAATTTAAAGGTCTTTAACCTAAGCTTTAATTCTGAGTACAAAGTGGTTATTCCATTGATTTAATTAATTTGCTAAATGTGTTCTTCTCCTGTGTACTTGTTAACACTTGCTTCCTTATTTTCAACAAAGAATGACAAGAGCACATATTTATTTTAAAAATTACTTACATCTTCACTTAATTCACCAAAAGTTGTCAGAACATCCATGAGTAAACTTGAGGTTAAGAAAGCTTTTATCACATTTCTGAAGAAAAAAGGCATTAATGCATTCAATGATTCTATAATCAGAAACAAATGTAAGTGAATTCTTGCTTAGATTATGTAAACAGGCACAATAGTTAACTGATCCGGAATTTTTGTGTGTGAAATTTTTTAATCACATACTTGTCTAAGAAATGTAATACCAATTTTTCAAAATATTTCCCTTATATTGCTCTTGCAAAAAATTAATTTAATTTTTATTTTTAACATGAGAAACTTATGGGATCTAGAGCAGTGCTTCCCAAACTGCAAAGTTTGATCAACCAATGGACGAGTTTCCAAACTGCACCAAGGAACAGTGTCAGATTATTAATTTTTTTCTTATTTGACTATAAATATTCATGTTGTCTGGACTATGGACACCAGTTTGGGAACACTGATCTAGACCACCCAGAGGAACCCAAATAAAATAAAATAATGAAGAAGAATCTTATGAGAATAAAAAATAATGTGCACACCCTTGTAAATACTGGATAGATCTGAATAGAGGGTTAACTCACTTGCCAAAGTTACCAGCACGATCTTCAGTGTCAGCATAAAGAAAGAGTTTAAGAGCATAATTCTCTACGTGAGCCTGGCCACATATTTCATTGTGAACTGCTTGCTCATCCTTGAGCTGGCCTTTGGACTAAAAAGATAAGAAGATAATTTTTCTGCTTATAATGCATAATTTTGGTTCTGCTTAATGAATTTTACTACATTATTCATTAAACTTAATTTTCAAAATCAAATCATTTAAATTTTTCAACACTGTTCCATTGTTTTTTGTTAATATTTGCAAGATTATAAAATAAATACCTTTTCTGTGTATAGATATATAATCTGGATGTACCTTTTCAAGAAAGTCCATGAGTGCAACCAAGAACTGTCTGGCCTCAGGAGAGGTTTTATCAATCAACATGCCTTGTTGCATGGCATACAAACGGCCTTATGATAAGATAAAAAAATAGTGTATTTGAGAGAAAGGAAAGTGAAAATATGTAATACACTTGGATGGACATCGCCACATCTGCTATTTTGAGCAATATTTTTTTTACATGATATAGTGGTAATTCTTTCAAAAGGCAATTATTTTTATTTCAGGTGGTAGTGAATTTTGGGAAGGGGTGGAGAGGGGCAGATAAATGCATAATCTCCCCTTATTTGGAATTTGATTGAAAGAAATTTTGTCAATGGAAAATCAATTGACGGAAATTTGATTGAACGGAAATTTGGTCAATCTTTTTTTCAGCTCACACATTAAAATTTTGCGTCAAATTTCTTTTGAACGCATTATTTTTTTTTTTTTACTATATAGTATAGTGCGTTCGAAAAGAAATTTAACGAAAATTTTAACGTGTGAACTAAAAAAAAATATTATACCAAATTTCCGTTTGATAAAATTTACGGCAATCAATTTTTTTTTTGAGCTCACACATTAAAATTTTGCGTCAAATTTCTTTTGAACGCATTATTTTTTTTTTTTACTATATAGTATAGTGCGTTCGAAAAGAAATTTAACGAAAATTTTAACGTGTGAACTGGAAAAAAATATTCTACCAAATTTCCGTTTGATCAAATTTCCGGCGATCAATTTTCCGTCTACAAAATTTCTTTCAAAAAAATTTCCGGTAACCATAATCTTCCTGATGTGGACTGCTGATTGTCAGCAAAATGAAAAAAAAAAAAAAAAAAAGAAGCAACAAATTTAAAATTTTAAAAATACCTTTTATCTCAGCATAAGCTAATGTTAAAAAAATTTAATCCTAAAAAAAATCAATTTTCATTACATTTAAATGTGAATGTTACTAATAATTGGCACTAATAAAAATAAATGAAATGCAAATTCTATTCAAGAAATATTAATAAAGATCTTAATTTGAATTGAGTGGAAGTAAAAATCTCCATAATTCTCAGAGACTAAAAATAATTGCTTAATAAATTTTATAATAAAAAAAATTAAAACATAATTAAGTATTGAAAACAGATAACTTTATTATGACCACAATTAATTATGATATAAGGGTCCTGCACTTGTAATTTTAAAATTAAATTTTTATTGGGGGCCAACAATTTTCTCTAAATTAGTAATAGTTCTATATAATATAAAATTCAAAATAATCACAACAAAAATTTTTTTTTTTTTAAAATTGTATGAAGTGACTGGATGGATAGCAATGAGCCCTGGGTCTAATTGGCTTTCCCAGGGCTCAATTTCTTATTTTTTGAATGAGAAAAGGCAAAAATTTTATGTCTTTAATTTTCACCCAATTGCAGTAAACACACCATTTCATCAGATTATAACTTTAAACTTTATCTAATAAATATTAAAATGTCTAAAAGTGATTATCATAGCAGTGTGCAAAATGTGAGATCAGCAGCTGAGACTCTGTGAGGGTAAGTTATTAATATCTCTGGCCACATCTTTCAGGGATGCAATGCAGTTGACATTTTCATCCCGAACTGAATGTAGGTACTTCGGTAAGTCAAGGGAGACTACTACTTTTTGTGTATGGGATTTAGCAATCTGCGCCAAAAAATCCGAGTTTTTAATTTTCCGATGTGTGTGTCTATTTATTATTAAATTAGTACTTTCGATAAGTATTTGAGTTCCGTTTTCGGCCTTATAATTAGGTAGACATCTTGGCCTACATTTTAATCAATTTCTTTTTCATTTACAATCAGTCAGCTTTGAGAAAATCCTTGGTAAATATAAGGCAACTTTCATCATTAAAATTAAGTCGAAGGAAAAAATTTGTCACTACCAAATTTTTTTTGCATCTGGGGAATCTATTGATCTACATGTATGCCAATTTTCACAGCGATAAGTGTCTTACGAGAGACGCTATGTTTCTGCGCGTTCGCAGCAGGTCATGCAGCTCGCTCAACCTAATTTCGCCATGGGGTTGGCCACGCCCCCCTTTTTAATGGCGGAAGTTGACGATACTTAGGAAATATTAATTTATTATCACTATTTACATCAAAATAATTGATAACTTGTGTTTCAGAATGCATTTAAAGACATTTAAACTGGAATGTTTTAATTTGAGCTTTAACAACCCGGTAGAATCCATATTATAAATGATCAGAATTTACCGTGTGCAACACGTTGTCATTGGCAACCATTCACAGCCACTTGCATAACTGTATCGTAGTACTACCTCAGAGTTTCATTCATAAGAGTTTGCCGTGTGCAAAAACTACTATACCATTGGTCAGGGAAAGCTTTAATTAATTATTCATGTGCCAAAGTTGAAAGTTTAAACTAAGTCGACCCTAAACAGTATTTTAGTGATAAGGCGATGCGTTGCCTTATATAAAGTATATAGTCATTGCGCATGACGCGATCAGCGGAATGAGGTCACAAGATGTGGAGGTTTCGTCCATAGTAAAAAATACCAAACGAACTCACACTTTAAAAATTCATAGCTCAAAAAGTACTTAAGCTAAAAAGTTGATTCTGGTTTCATTTTTTTATTTGAAATTAGCTCTAACTAACTGTGCTATTAAAAAAATTATTTGAATTTTTTTAAATTTTGTATCCAAGTGCCTACTGAATGTGAGTTAGGAAGCATTGTACTCTACCCATCATATGATCATAAATGAAGAATTTTTAAAAAGTGTAAACTTAGCACAAAACCCTTAAATTTATGGAATAATTTTAAAGATAGATGTATTTAGTTCATGGCAAATGCAACAGCTTTTATTTTACAGATATGCTGCAGGAAGTCGTCTATTTTTCTCAATTCTGTGACAAATGCACACAGGAAAGTACACACAAACATTACTACTCACACTCACACCAAAACTGCACACACCCACAATGGCAAACACAGAAAATTGGGCTGGTATCAAGCTGTAACCGTTACAGTATATATAATGCCTTGATTGAATAGGACTGAGTTATCATTACATTGAGGGTAAATTATAAAACTTAAAATTAATTTTAATTTAGTTTAGTCATTATTATTAATATTTACTATTTATTCATGTTTGAGTTTGTTTGAGGAGTGCCTGTCTCTTTCAGCATTACGAATTTAAAATCTATTCGAAAATGAAACTGTAAAATACATACAATAGTAGGCTATTACTGGATCTCTCTTGTCATGTTCTGTTGCTATTCTCAAATATTTTTGAATAGCTCCTTTGAGATTGGCAGGAACTGGTGGTAGACCTGAGGTAGCCATATTTTGTTGTTGCTATAAAACCATCTAAGGGAGGTGATTCAAAAACTTTTTTTATTCGTGGTGTCTCCAAACACCGCAAGAGACCATTATTCTGGATTTTCAAACAACATGTAACATTTTACAGGTGAATCAAAATGTCAACGTTACGGTATGTATTATTCAAATCATGCGACATATAACATTAAACATCAAGCATTATTTTCTTACGAGTGACACCTGTTTCAAATATTAATAATTCTAATTCATAGTAATAGTGTTGAAATACGCAAAATATGTCACTGACATTTGTCGAAATTTGGACTTGGACTAAAACACCACTGTTCTTATTCTTATATATACACACAATTTGATAAATAAAGTCAACAAAAGAGGGGGGTTGGGAAGGGCTTAATCTCTTGACCATTGACTTAGAAAGAGGGTAGTATTTTTTCGCGGCGGTAATTTTGGTCCACGGCAAAGAGTATGTCGGCTTATAAGTTTGATGCATATTTTGTATCTCTTGTGGTTTTCGTGAGTTTTGGGGCGAGAAAATCTAAAACCACCCAGTGCCTAAAAAAAATCTACTTCATAGATCATTGAAATCATTGTTTGCCAAACTTTGACGTCAAAAGAAAGAAATACAAAGAGACATAAAAAAAATTACGAGACCTCATCAACACCAATCGACAATGAAAGTGCACCTTGCGGCATGCGTCACACTAAAATCGGTAGTCACTACTACCTTCTTTTGGCAAAGCCAAAATGTAGAATCTGGAGCCCAAATGATCAGGAACATCAGAAAACAATGCCTCGACATCGGGAATGGTCCTTTATGCTTACATGGTTGAGTAGACATCAGGTAGGTAGTTAGCTCACATTATTAGAATAAGAAATAGCGTACAGTACGTGTTTTTTTTTTATTTGCAGATTTTCGTATTTTTTTAGTCTTTTTTTTTAAATTTATAGCGGTAGAGATAAATTACTTCAATCATTTTGATAGTACATCATATTTCATTTTATTTAATTAAAGATAAACTAGATATGTTTGATTTCTTGTGCAGTTGTCTAGTCTACACACATTTTTTTTAAAAATGCTCTTAGTAGTGACTAAGTGTAGTTCTGTTATAATATTTAGAAAAATGCACCACTGCACACATATGGACCAGCATTACACCTGGATAGTCTTTAAAAATGTGTGCTATTAATTAATTTAAATTAGCTGTGATAAAAAAAATTGTTTTCCTTGTAGCATTGTATGTTTAAGACTAGATCTTGGAAGTTAGCAGGGCGGCTCAATTGTGCCCATTTAATCTTACAGTATATTACCTTACGAGAATATCTCCACAACTCCATATTAAATTCATTCTTATTAATGACTCATGTCAGGCACCCAAAATGAGCCAGGCTCTCAAATGTGGGCTATGTAGGATTATAGTGACACCAAGAGTTTTTTCATTGTGTCATTTACATTCATAAATGAATAAATTGTGTACAATTTCGAGCAAAGAAAAATGTGTTGGGCGGAAAGCCTGTATTAAGGCACCATTTTAGCCCCAAAGTATACCCCCTCTTTACGTTGCCCTGTTTCTACTAACTGTACGCTTGCATACATTATTCATTTTAACGGGATGTGCAAGTGCATAAATGCTTCACTTCAACTAGCATTACCACTACACACGTTTTTTTTTTTTAAACTAACGTATTAAATCTAATTCGTCGTTTTTAGACATCAAAAGAAATTTCTAAAATTTAACACAGCTCTCAATATCGTATTGGTGGCAGGTTAAGACAGGACCATGACTGGGGCAATTTGAAGGAAGCACTCTGTGTTTTGATTTGGTTTTTACATATTTACCGGACATTACAACAGGATTATGTGGGTTTTTTTAGTTCATAAGCCGTATCATATTAATTAGGGATGGGGCGTTCTTACTTTTGAACTTTCTATCTTCATTGATCAAATCACAATCGTTTCAGGTTTAAGAGTATTTCCCCTATCAAGACCTAATCACTGCCTTACTCCAGTCCGGGTGAATTTTTAGAGGCTCCTTTAGCCTTTAAATTTCCCAAGGAATTGAGCCTGGAGTGGGGGGAGGTTGAACTGAAAATTTCAAGGGTCTTACACAGATGTGTAACTTATCTTTAGGTTTCTAGCGTTCATGGCATCCCCCCTCTAGCACTAGAAAGAGTTTTGAGGTCATGTGATACTATGAAAATTTGTTTTTACCATAACTTCTGTTTAATTCTTGGTCTTTACATTTATTAAATCTTATTTTTGAAGTTTTGGGTCATAAATAGTTAAAACTTGCAACCTTTCAAAACCTATTATTTTCTTAAGGTCCCCTATATATCCAATCAATAGACCTACATCCACTATTCTTGCCTTTTACTACTTTTCAAGGAATAAGTTATGCTGTATTCGATGTTGGTACACATTTGTTTTCTGTAAAACGTGTATGCTCACAGATTTAAATCATTTTAATAGTATGGTTATATATAGTAAATGAAACACATTTTTATTAGGTAATTTTGTTTTATGACACTACTTTAACAGTATGCCGCATTCAACTTCTATTTTAGCAAGCCTAAAATATAATAATAATAATAAATAATAATAATGTGCTTATGACGTCTGTTTGAAACATTTGCTTTTTACAATAAATACAAAAGCCAATTGTTCACATAAAATAAATCATCGAAGTAAAAAAAAAATGAAAAGAATCATTCTAACAATTTAAATACATATAAACATCAAACAATGTATAATTTCAATCACTGTCTGAAGGAGTTTAGGATAAGGGAATTTTTAACAGACCCTTTGCAACACACAAAGTGCACACACAAACACACACACACACACACACATATATATATATATATATTAAGTATTTATAATAATATCAATCTTATTTTTAAACAAATTTCTTTCAGAATAAGTTTTTTTTTTAACTTTGGTTCTATTTCGGAGTGTTCGGATAATTCGCGGTAGTAGTAGGAAGTAGGAAGCTACTTTTAAAATAGTGTCGCAGTCAGCAGCGTAGCAGTTTAAAACGGAGGGTGAGTATGAGCCATAATATTAATAATAACAAATTAGCGTAACACTTCCTCCACACCCAGAATCACAACGGAAAAAAGGTATTCTCAACTCTTAGTAGACTATGAGTCATTATCCACAAAAACTTGATACTTTAATATTACGGACTCCATCATAACTGTGTTCACCGTAATCCAAACTGTCCATTTATAGCCTGTTACTCACAATTGTGAATCATTGTATTTTAGGCCTATGCCTATCAGTGATTTTGTTTTTAGATCAGGGTTCTGCGAACTGGGGTAAATTATCCAACAAAGTGGGGTAAAAGGGAAGAATCTGGGAGTAATGAGGATTTCCACTCTAATTTACATAAGAACAAAGCAGTGAAATTGATTGAACCCTGAAGACAGCATGAGTATCTGTCACAGTTTACAAATATCTCTGGAATCAAAATCAAAGAGCCTAATTTTAATGTTATATTGTATAAAAAATGACACCCCACCCCCCCAAAATTATAATAATTTCTCCAAAACCTGACGTCAACAAGCTATACTATAAAAAATGCCTTTGTTCTATACTATTTTAGACATAAATTTTTAGGGGTTGGCTTATGAGTGGTTTATACACTTTTCAGATTCATCCCACCCAAAACTAAGGGGGTGGACGGCTTATGAACGAACAGTCTTTACCAAAGAGAATCTAAGGTAGACATTATTGCCATCATTAAATTGAATGGCAGTGTGGGTAACTGTCCCAGATGTCACTTTTTGGAGTTTTAATATAACTTTTATAAATGTTGTGTAAGTGTGTGTTCAGGAATGCACCTTTTGAAGATCACCTGAATGGCATTTAGTCAAAATAAGCCACTGATAATAAGGATATACTCATTGTTACTAGTGAACTGGAAGTGAATGATATTATTACAGATATATAGATTTTAAATCAAACTCATCCCAATTTCTCATTTAATAATTGGCAGTGTCTATTTGTCCGGCGACTGGACAAATAGTGCGGCAGATATTCTTCCGGAGGGCTTGTCACATGACCACCAGACGACTAGTATGTGTTATTATTCCAGCAGACATGTCATGTGACAAGAGGTCGCCGGTAAAATTTAAAAAAAAAGTCTGTTATCTTGGTTTAAATATCTTATAAAGCTCTACCTAGTAGCCTAAATTTAAAATATGAACCAAAGAAAATAAGACCAATACTTGCCAGTTGACTTTCAATAGATCTACTGTCAAAAAAGGCTTTTTTTTTGTGCTATTAATATTGCGTGAGAAGTAGGCTACCCCAACAGCACACTATATTCAATAATATTGGCCCTATGTTAAGATGTTTTCTTTGGAACCAAGGTGTGTTGAATGTGTTTTATCTCCATTGACTGATAATCTTGTGTTTTTTACCATGATGAACAGCGATTACATGGATTTTTTGGACATCATTGCAATAAACCAAGACAAATCCATAGCCGCCATATTGGAAACAATTGAGACGCCATCGTGTAAACAAATGGCAAGATCAAAACAACTATTGAAAGACAAATCAACTACATACAAAAGGCATTCTCGTAATCTTGGAGAAGAAAACCTCTGTTCAAACAAAAATCCAAGACTGTTCTCACTCAAGAACTCAAGAGTTATTCATACCGCACAATTACAATTACATAGCGAATGTCTTGCTACAGGAACAACAGAAAACACAAAAAACATTTCGATGGCTGAAGGAAATATGTACGATGAATGTAAAAAAACAAATATTTGGATCAATAAAAATATCTTATCTCATCTTATTTCTTTGGGAACTTTCGACCTCCCCGCCTTAATTATTTATCACCCTTACTATCATTTTTATCCTTTTTCTCTCAGTATTTCTTCCTTCTAGTATGCATTGCTCTCTTCCCCCCCCCCCCCCCAACGTGCTTTTTGAAATGAAGTACAAGGCTGACGGACAGATATCTGGCCTAACTTTATTACGACGGTCATGTGTCCTGGTCGCCGGAAGAATATCTCGAGAATTATTCGTCAAGTCGCTGGACCTGTAGACACTTCGTTAATTATTTTATATGTCATTGAGTTATAATAAAGCCATTTCAGATTTGAAATATGGGTCATGAAAAATTTTGGATACTTTTACAACAGTGAAAAAAATGTCCACACTATTAATTTTGTTGAACTAGGTTGAGAAACAGAATGTCTTTTAATAGCTTGTTTTTGATAGCTTCAGTTTTCTGCCTGTAATCAACTACTTCAGAGCTAGGCTATTTTGTTTACAAAAGTATAAATGATTCAATTTAAATAGTACAAATTATTATTGTATCTTACAACAGTTATCAATGATCTTACCACAGCAGGTGGGAAATGTTTTTGATTGAAGTGAAAAAGTGAGATCCACCTACCAATGGCAGGCAATATGTTTGCTGGTAAACATGGAGTTAATCCTAGACGTCACTCCGCTGACTCCGGAGATGCACGCGAAGGAGTTCTGGAGCTGGCCAACCTAATGACTAATCCAGTGGTGCATCCCAGAGATTTACCTATAATAAGTCGTGGGAAACCTAAAGATAGTATTGGAGCTCTCAATATTTCTTTGCATCAGGTATGGAAAACATTTCTTAAATGAAAATTGCAACTTGATAATGCTTTCAAAACATACTGTGAGTGAAACTTATAAGACAATAATGATACATCTTTTAAAGAACACCACTGACTAAGCTTTTCCAAGGTATTAATCATGACAATTTTTTAAATACTGAAGCAACTTATCTTATAAGCGATAGTAGCCCTCTTTTCGGTCTTCTATAAATAAAAAAAAATTAGTGGCAGGCTGCTAGTATTTCTTAAATGTTCCTTGCTATCTTTTGCACAAAAAACTGTTTGTGTTTAAGTGAGATTTAAATGGCATTTATGGATTGTTAAAAGCTTAACTTAAATAAGACTGTAGTAATATGTAAGTTTTTTGCTTTGTAAAAAAAAATAATACAGATTACGAAAAAAAAATCTTTTTATTTTGAATTCAGTGTGCCAGAGATGGGGATGAGAGCAACATGTGGATTCTACTTAAGAGCTTAGGTGCAAATGTGAGAAAGAAGATAAACCAGTATGATGAAGACAGTTTAACACCCCTCCATTATGCTGCTCGCTATAATCACCTGAGTGTGGTCAAACTTCTTGTGGAAGCCGGGGCGGGTAATAAAGCTTATAATAAATACATTTTTAAAATGTCAAGGAAATCACATTGTGGTTATTACACAGTGAAAAGCCAGGCCTATAGCAGAGGTTACTTTTGAGATATTATATGCCCAAGACATTTTTGTGAACATTAAGATTTTTCTCAAATACAAGGTATAAAGAAAAATTGAATTAACCAACCAATAAAAAATAATAATCATTTGTTTAATTTTTTGCTAACTCACATAATACGGATAAAGGGCTTGTAGTTCTTAAATACTATTTTTTTACTCGCTTTTATAAAATGTATTAGCACAACATGAAAAGATATGTTCCTTGGCTATTAAATGTAATAATACATTTGTTTCTCTTGTTAAGGGATATCTGAATCTTTTTAAAATAATTAAATGAGAAGCAAAGCTTACAACCTAAATCGTGGCAATTTTTAATAGATGTGCATGCTGCTGGAGAAGATAAGATCACACCATTGCACCATGCTGCACGATACAGACGAGAACGGATCACAAGGAGAAAACCGGGGCTTTCAATTCAAACAGGCAGTGTATGTTAATAATAATAAACACACATTGTTCTTGGCTACAAGTGATTCAAATCACAGATATTCAGTTCATTTCCAAACACCTATTCAATTGAGATCTGACCTGTGTGTTTAAGACTGGTTCATAATTTTCAATACAAATCTGCGAGTATAACTATAAACTTTTTTTTTTTTTTAGGAATCTTTAATATTAACCAAAAAGATAAACAAGAAGAAAAAAAAGCTAAACATTTTACTATAAAATCCAATTTTGAAAATTCCATTGAACATTTTTTTAAAAGTGGCTTTGAAAAACTAATTTTAAATTCTTTAGCTTGGATTGGCAATATGTGCTGCTTTATGTCTTACCATAAGTTTAGATAAAATAATTTGATTGCCTGGACAAGCATTGTTAATTTTACAAACTACTATCCCATCTAATTTTAAAAATGCCGCTCAGATGCTTTGCATGGCATTTGTGTTTTTATTTGTATTTCGCAGCTCCTACTGTGTAGATATGAATTATTTCTTAACCATTCCGCTATTTATGAAGTAACATGTTTTCCACATTTGAGCAATCTTAACAATGAATTCGTTCATAACCTTTTGTGCACACAACACCTGGTATTCATGTATCCACCTAATGAGAAACAAGTGCTCTGCTCATTGATAATTTAAGTGCACATTCTTATTGGCAATTTGATAAACGGTGCAACTGACTTTTTCTGTAAGCTCTGCAGAAGATAATTTATTCTATATAATTAGGTAGCTTTGTAATGCAGGTATCTTCACATGGATTCAGGCTATAAATAATTTCATTACTATTACTAAAGGTGCCTACAACCCCAGACTTTGATTTTCTCCGGGATGAGGAGGATGAGAAAGATATAGCTGCTAATCGAGTGAGAAAAAACAAGAAAATAATGAAATTTCACAATATGAAAGCTGCCGAGAGCGAAACAATGCTACAGGTTTCTTTATTATTTTTTTTTCATTATGTAATTTGATATAGTTTTATCTATGCATTAGCTATAACACATAGTTTACATTAGGGAAGCTCAAACTTCATGATTTAAAAGTTGGTAAACTCAACATTTTCATAATTTTTATGTTGTTCCTAACACTGATGTTGTGAAATGTAATTTTTCTATTTCTTTAGATATTAATATAATAACTTTAAATTGTCTAACCACAATTATTGTCACATGAACTTATTGCTTACTTGTAAGTAATTACAATGCTTAAAATTGACCCATAAAACAATTGCAGTTTCAATAAAAACACTGTTTTTTTTTTCTTTAACCATAATTTAGATGTTTAAAATAACATCTTGATTGTGTGTGAAAAGAACTGCAGAATTATTTTTTTATTTAAAAAAAAGAAAAGAGAGAGATGACTCATGGAATTCTGATTTTATAGAGAGTTTTATCTTTAACATGTAAAGTAAGCATGCAGTTTTTATTATACAAAGTTACCTTCTGCACTCAATGCACTTCTTCCATCTACCAGTCTGATCACCTCTACCAATCATGTTATCCTTAACATAAGTCACAGTCCAGCATTTGTTGTTTTTGGCATCAATGACTGTCTACTTTTTTTTATGGATTTTTTTTTTTTTTTTAAAGACACATCGCCCATGTTAATTCCCTCAATTTTAAAATGAGCGTTAGAACTTTATTCTAATCAAGCTGATGGATGTTGCCTTATGGTATCACTGGCAAAATCACTGCATTTAATTTGTAAAACCTAATGGCAGTGGTTTGTTTGTGCAGGACCCTTGACCCAGACAGTGTCACCATTTTTTTATAGGGAAGCTTCTCTGTGAAATATCAAACTTGTTCAAATTACTTGAAAGGAAAATATTATGAAATAGTTCAATTTTGTTGAGGGAAGCTCACCCATTATTTGTTTGGATAGTTCAAAAGACAACTCCGTTAAAATTTTAAATATCCATGAAAGTTAACTCCAGTTTTGTATTAATTTGTGTTACTGTGAATAAAAAAGCAATAATGAGACAATAAGGAAATATACAGCTGATATAGTCACTCCACGTCATTTTGAATATATTTCAGAGTTTAAGAAGGTAAGAAATAGCTGATCCCTAGTTAGAGGTATGGCTGTTGGAAAAAATAGAGATAATTTATTTTTTTTCTTTTCACCACAAACCAGTAGTTTCAATTCAAATTATCCTGTGGGAAAAATCTATATCCATTCCTTGGATTCAAGAAATCTCAAAATTTTCCCCTACAACTTTGTCCCTGGGAAATGCAAACGGCACCCTCTTTATAATAAATAAATATAAACTAAAAAACTGGAAGTAATAAGCATAACAAAATAAATACAATAAACTGCAATTTGTCCACTAACACAGCGTTCGCTGAATGGTTTTCCATGGACTGGCACCAGTCCAGGAGCCTTATGATGCCTGTGGGCAAAACATGAAATATTTATAGTCAAATAATAAAGTATAATACATCTGACACCAACCCCTGGTGCAATTTCGAAACTTGTCCTCCACCGGTCAGCCTAACATAAGAGTTTGGGAAACGCTGCACTAAGAGACATTTAAAAGTTATTCTTCTGCCCCTGCATATTTAAAATATCTGTCAATTGAGTTTCTTATAGTTCTTTAAAAAGAACACCTATGTTTAGAAAAGAAGCATGTGTGGTTAAACCTGAAAAGCTTTTGCTTAATATAGTTTTGGACAAGTTTCACCACTTGATAAAACCCTTTCCTATTTTATGTTTACATTAAAATTAATTACTAATACAAACTAACATCTGTGGTTAAACTATTTAGGTTGCAATTCCTACAATGTGCCATTTTTTTTTTGTAGATCAAATATTTATTTATTTAGTTATTTTTTTTGGAATGAATATAATCTGTTCACATTTATTTTGTTTATGATTTTTTTCTAAACTTCTAACCGTCTTGTCAGTCACAAAGTTCAACCATTTTTAAAAATTGGACTGTTGTACTCTTTATGTTTGCTCCTTTCCCCCCTTTTAAATTTATTTTCTTGCACAGATCCACTGAAGTTGAAAGAAGGTTAGTTGTTTCCGTTTGTGTGCATTTCCTTTCAAATAATCTCATGTGTGTTTGGAAATTTGAAGTATGTTTTGAAGCTGAAGCTAGTTTATCTTTGGTATTTGAACAATTCAGTAGAGTACACAGGTCTTTATTTCTAGCATTTATATTAATGTTTAGGATAGTTGAACATTTTTAGCCTAGTACTAATTTACCCCCATTTGAAATTCATGACATAGGATTAGGAAGTTACTATTTCTTTTTTGTGGGGGATAAAATTAGAAATGTGAAAGAAGCTACAGAATCTTACATTTATCAAATTAAACAAGTGTATACAAATTAAGACGTCAATGCAGTTCATAACTTTTTTTGTCAATTTAATCCTAAAGCTGGCATGTCATCAGGCAGACCAACTCTACCTTCTTCTCCCTTCCCGGCTTTTGCTTTCCTTGTTCTGTTCTTTTTGGTTATAGAATTTTTTATTTCAATACAACTTTGTTCAATTTGTCCCAGCTGTACCATTCTCCTCTAGAATTATATTTCTGTTGAATCATGAATTGAGTTTTGAAAAAAACAACAAAAAACTTTAAATATTTTCTACCAAATTTAAATACATTTTTAGTCTTGTTTTGAGATGAAGGAAAATATTTTTTTAATTTATTGTTAAATTAAATAAATATTAAAATAGGCTTTTCTGATTTTAAACTTCTATTCTGAATAATTTCTCCCATAATACATTTAGTATTGAGACATTTTTCATCAAATATAATTGCTATCTCCATTTATGAAAAAAAGAAATGTATCTACTTTTCTTGCTTGTTTTGAATACATTTTAATTCCCATAATTCCATACTCTGCTAGCAATGTCTGTTTTCAAGTTTGTAAATATCATAAATAAGCATCTATTTAAAAAAATTCTGTATAAAAGCAGATGTACAATTAAATTTTAAAAAAAAATCTTCATTGTTTTGAGCAGTTAGCTATATTCTCAGCCATTAACCTATGTATCAGTGGTCCTCCACATGTTTGACTGTGGGATGTTATGTGATGATTTAAAGTGCAAAAAAAATGTATGCCCTGTATCCCTGCGTGGCCCAGTTCCTAATAGGTTGAGGCCCAGTGGTTGGGGACCTCTGTTCTAAATGACAAGTTTCGTTTGATAATAATTTTCAAAGTCTTTTATCAAGCTTACCACCAGGGTAATATTTACTGCCAGCTATCAGCCACTTAGAGAAACTCCTCAATTCCAGAAGCACCATTTGAAAATAATTGTCAATTTCATTAACCCTAACCTCTCTCTTCTATGGCATACATTTAGCTATGAGATGCATTTAAAAGCTAGAATTGCTTGAACTTAATATAAAAATAAGTATGCCCAAAAATATTCCTGAAAATTATGGATTTTTTAAATTTTGTTTTGTATTAAAATCTTAGTAAATTAAATCCATATTGTGGATTGTTGATGTGGTTATACTTAAAAGAATAGTAAGTAGCTCCATCTCTAAAGTAAATCAGTATCTACGATTCTTATTTTCAGCATGTGGGCTTGAATGGTGGGCCATCATCTGAACAATTAGACCGGGACCCTGATGGCAGCATAGTCTCTTACTTGGTTAACAAAGGAGCCAACATTAACGCTACTGACATCTATGGGCAGACACCTCTGCATTTTGCGGCCATGAGAGGCAACGAAGTGGCTTGCAGCAATCTCTTGTTCTTCAAGAATAAAATTAAGATTGAGGTGAGGAAACTAGACTTTAAGTTTTATTAAATGATGATCAGAAGTGTTCCTGCTTTTCATTTGGAAACTAAAAACATTTTTTAAACAGATCACAACTCTTCTGGGGCAAAATTTTTTAAATCTAAAATCCGTTTTTAAAAAAACAAACTTTTCAGATTAGTGAAGAAATTATAATTAATCAAAATATAATATAGAACACACATTTTGATTTTAAAAATGTGAAAATTGTAATAATATTTCTACATTATCTTAAATCAAACTTCTGTAATAAAGTTATGATAAATTTATCCTTTACTTTTAGATGTTTTGCTTAATATTGTTTTTCTCTTCAAAACCTGTTTTAATTAAAGCTCTGTTTTTATTAATTGTAAAGTTATTTCATAATTCTTTAATTATAAATAAATAATAGAGATTAATTTTTGTTTACTAATAACAATAAAAAAATATAGTGTATTTGAAATGAAGGTTTATGACAAGAGATGAGAGATATTTTGCAAAAGCTGTGCATTGTTTTCATTGCATGAATTTGTTGAATGAAATCTCTATCAGACATTGCCTATTATCAGATATTATGGAGACTATTTTTTAAAATAAATAAAGACAGATGTGGTTTTCAAATTAGGCAAAACATTTGCTGTTTATCTTTGTTGTTTTTTTATCAATAAATAAGAATTTGCTACACTTAATGACCAGTTTTGTCCCCTAATTTAACCCATTTGCAGATCTGGACATTTCATTTTTATTTCCCTTCAGGCAAATGACAACCAGGGCTACACCCCCCTTCACACAGCAGCCATTCACAACCACGTAGAGATAGCTCGCATGCTCATAGAAGCTGGGGCCAGCTTGATGTGCAGGGACAAGGAGCTCTGCACCCCACTGCATCATGCAGCCTCTGAGGGAAACTTGGCTCTCGTTCAACTCTTGCTTGATGCCGGTGCCAACTCTCAGGAAGGCTGGATTACATTGACTGAGGTCAGCGTGGACTCTTAAAATTCACTTATTTTCATATACTATTACATTTTCCTCTCAAGCACTATTTTTTTTCTTTAAGAGAAACAATACAGATTTATTAACATGAATTTTTGTTTTTAACTAGTGTATTCATTTCATGAAAGATAAAAATAACTAGTTTAAAATTTATTTAACAGATGATCAGTGCAACCGAAATAGAAATGAGCTCACCGTTACACGTGGCAGTGGACAATGGTCATTACGAAGTTGTTAAGCTTCTCTTGGAAAAATGTGAGTAGTTAACCTGTCCCTGTGTTTTACTTTGGAAGCAATCACTTCACAAGTTTGGATTGTTTTACTTTACAAAATTGTTTATGATATTGTAACTTCACATTTAGAGAATTTTCTACATCTGGTGTTGAAAAAAACAACACTTTAAAAAAAAAACTTCGTTCATGTTTTACAGAACACCACTGAAAAGTTCGAGGTTGACAATTTTTATTTACTCCCAGGTGCTGATGTCAACAAACCCAGAAAGCATTTCATGTACCCCTTACACCTAGCGGCACAGTCTGGGGATGTTCGTATTGCCACATTGCTGGTGGAAAACCACGCACGCATCGATGCCCTCAATGACGACCAGGCCACGGCCCTCCACAGAGCCGCGGCTCTTAACCACGTTCAAGTAGTGGAGTTTTTGGTAGAAAGGTACTCACATAGACATTCAGCTTTTTTTTTTTCAATAAAATTTTGATCTTTCAAATTAATGCGCTGATCTGGTCTCTTTGTCTACAAGTATTATAAGAAATAATGGATATTAAAAAAAATAATTTAAGATTAAATTTAGATAAAGGGATATGTCTTAGAAATTATGACCAGTTTGTTTTGCATGTATTTATCTGTAAAAATAATGCAGTGCACATTGATGTCTTCACGGGGCCAGCTGTGCACATTGATGATTTCACTGGGCCAGCTGTGCACATTGATGTCTTCACTGGACCAGCTGTGCATATTAATTGTTTTGAAAATTGTAAACTAGGATTATGCTGTTTCTTTTCTGAAGTCAGCTTACACCTCTGGCAGTGGATTTATAGTTTACTATATTAAACTCCACAGAGGTGCAAGAATCAATAAAAGGGACAGTGATAATTACACACCACTGCTTCTGGCCGTCTGCTCTGGTAATTTGGAGACTGTTGAACTGTTGCTGAGGAAAGGAGCAGACTACACTGCTGTGGACAAGTATGACAAAACTGCCATATTCTTAGCTGCTGAGAAAAATCACCTCAATGTGCTGAATGTAAGTAATAAATAGGTTTGAAATACTACTCTTAATGCTTAACATGTGGCCCTCTTTGATATATCCTGTAGGCAAATAACTTTAAATTCTAATCAAACCAAACAACGAAAAAAAATTTTGGGAAAAACTAACTTCCTTGTGAGATGCCTGGGCAGTTTCAAAGGTCAAGGGAGAATACTCTTGACTCAACCTCTTTACCCAAAGCAAAAAAGGTTGAATGCTCTGGATCATCTTGCTGCAAAACATAACGCAATTAAAAAATGACATCAGAAAATAATTCCAAAACAGCAAAGTAGAAGTTGAAAAGATATTATTTGTCAACTCAGAATCCTAGCTGTTAGAGTCAAAATTATGCACATACAATTATAGTCATGCTTAAAAAAAAAAAAAATTTTACTTAAAAGTTTTAATAAAGTACTGCAGAAGGATGTTGAAAAAAAAAAAAAAATTATTTTGGTTTATCCTGTTAAAAAAATTCCAAAAAAGCAAAGTAGAAGTTGAAAAGATATTATTTGTCAACTCAAAATCCTAGCTGTTAAAGTAAAAATTATGCACATAAAATTAAAGTCATGCTTAAAAAAAAAAAAAAATTTTACTTAAAAGTTTTAATAAAGTACTGCAGAAGGATGTTGAAAAAAAAAAAAAAATTATTTTGGTTTATCCTGTGGACATGATCAAACTTGTAAAGGGCAGAGTAATAGTTGTGTTATTAAAATAGCTCTTATTCATTGGTTCAATCTCAGCTTCAATTATTTTTTTCTTTGGCAATGTCCCAAGAGCATAACATTTACTGCCTATAATCCTCAGATACTTCTGTCAGACCCAAGGGTAAAGAGGCTGGTTAATGACAGTGACTGCTATGACAATGATCCTTTACACATAGCAGCACAAAAAGGATACTTGGAAGTTGTGCAGGTTGGTAGGGCAGGAGCTTCACCCCTGCTGTCTTGTAGAAAAAAATAATAATATTTTAATGAGTTTATTTACAAAGCCTACGTTTGAAATATTGCCATTAGTTTTTTTTTCCTGCTTTTATGTGAAGAAAGGAAATAGAATTTACAAATCATGTATTGCATTGCAGTAAAGTAAGCGATATCACAAATGAATTTCTCATAACCTTCATTTACTCTCTCTGCATATATTTGCATCCAGCACTCAACACCCACGTGCACAGAAGTGTTTTCCTTGAGTTTACTACCCTTGTAGTTTTTTCGTCTCACTTTAATTTCTGTGTAGCAAACTCAAGCTAAAGAAAAAAAACCTGTGCAGCCCAGCTATTGATTATCATTTAATTGTAGCTTTGTTTGATATCCCATCAGTGTCTACTGAAGCACGGTGCTGACCTTGACGGTAAAAATGAAGAGGAGCACACGCCACTCCACTGTGCTGCCAAGTATGGCAGGACAAAGTGAGTCATGTATCACTAAATCATCACCTTCACGTAACTCTACTAAATAATTTTATACATAACCATAATCTGAAAAGTTATATAATTTGTTTGAAACATAATAGTGGAGACAAGTAACTTTTACTGTGATTACATATTAGAATACATATTAGCATTCATATGATGCTAACTTTAAAAAAATTTGAAAAATATTACAATTCGTTATTTTTCATTATGATTTATTTAAGAATTAATTCTTGGCATACCAAAGTTAATTGTGTAATAAAAAGACATAATGACTGGAGAAATTTTTCTTTAAAAAAAAGAATGGTGTTCCCTAAATGGTGGTCCAGGGACCGGCTCGGGAGTCAGTCCAGGGACCGGCTCGGGAGTCAGGCCAGGGACCGGCTCGGGAGCCATTCCGCACAACATTGATATTTAAGGTTAAATAAAATGAAAATATATAATGAATATATCTAGAACCGATACCTGATGAAATTTTAAAAGTGTCCACTGGTCCGCCAAATGCCGTTCCATCACTCTCAGCCCTTTTATACATGAGGAAATTCTTGAAACTTGAATTAGATATTGAATATAAAAAGTCATAATAGAACTGGAAAAATTCTGTATTTTCTTCCCCGCAGCATTGTAAGGGAGCTGATCAAACATGACAAAACCATAGTTAACGATGAAGATGAAAACTCCAACACAGCCCTGCATGTAGCGGCTCGGTACGGTCACCACAAAGTGGCCAAGGTCTTGCTGAGTCTTGGGGCTGATGTTTCTTCGAGGTAACACCAGCTGTTAAAGTCTTGATTTCCTGCAGGACACTGATTAACTACTTGTGAACTGAAACCATACGTTGACTGCTGCACTCTGCAACTGTATAACACATGTAGTTGTAAACCTCTGGTGTCGCGTATAAGGCATTTTTATGAGTTACTTTACATGCATAATTGGTCATTTAAAACTAGTCTAATCCTCGTTTTATCATTTATTTAGGGAAGTTAATTTTATAGTTTATTTGAAAGAAAATGCGTTTAAGTCTACAATTTTTGGGGGAAGAAAAGGCCTGCCTTTAAGTATACAAAGACCTTTTTTATTAAAGTAAAAATCTATAATTGAAATGAAAAGAAAATGCATAACCAATACCAGAAAGCTAATTTGGAATCAACTTGAATGTTAATTAAATTAAACATAATCTAGCAGTCGTGAGGTCAATTTACAGTTTTTTTTCCAAGAAATGACGTCTTGAGAACTATAGCTTTTGTTTCATTTGGGACTAATGAGAAAGAAGAATAAGAAATAAGGAGAATATCTGAAAAGATGCAAATAGTGCAGGCTATAATGTCCTGACTAACACTGAGTTGCACGACTAACAGTAAACCTGTTGGGTAACTCTGGATCATACAGGTCATGACCGACACACTTGACTAACAGATAAAGATACATTATGACAGTAAAGTGAATGGTCTACAAGTTTTAAGTGGAATTATTCTTTTACTAATGTTAAATTAGCATAGAGAATCATGCTGCTGGGTTTGGCTGATACGACAATTATTATACATGGGTGTTTTCTAAACCTGTGTGAGCTACTGAAAAATCCTAGAAAAATTGACACACACTGTGTCTATTTTATACTGACTAATATGATATGACTGTTTTAGTATGATGCTAACAAACATCTTGCTTTCTAATTCTATAAAAGGATAATATATGGGGGACTCCATTTCCGGACCAAAACCCTGCAGACTTATGTGTGTTTGTTCATGTTAATTCTCAATTTCAAATAACTTGTTTTTCTTGTTTTGTATTGTCTTCTGAAAAAGGCATTTTGCCGAAACATCCTAAAAATTCTTCAGTCTTTTTTTCAAACCTAAACAAATGTTGTTTGACTATTTATTTTCTATATCAGAATTTAGCATATGGCTGTATGTTTAACCATCACAATATCATTGATACGAATCAAAGTGACAGAGCTGACAAGTGATTAAAACACTGCTTAACATCAGTAATGAACAGGGATGGTCTGTTACCCACACCTAACAAATGTACCCTACAAAACCACAGAGATATAAAGGAGTATGTTTTACTAAAGAAACGGCCACATTTTACCAGCAAACAATGGTGCACTTTGGGCGGCAATGCGAACTTCAAATGCAAAACACACAGGACATGCTAAATATAAGCAGATTTTAGCTACTAACATATCGGAGGGCACCTACATTATGCCAGGCCAATCCATATATTTGGGCAGCCTAGCAGCCTGTGTTTGATCATGTTTAGTCTTGGCTTTTTGAGATACATTTTATATAAGTTAATAATCTTATTAAATATGGATGTAGTGAATAGAAGGGGTGAAATGGAGGAATGTAAAAACACTCTTTAATTGCTTTCTATTAAAAATCCTCTAATGGATGGAAATATGTAATTATAACAAGATAAAGAGATCAAAATCCCCTTTTGGGGGTTGATATAGTGTAAACCATAACTCACTAGGGTTCCTGTGAAACTTGTTACTTAACTTATACAAAAAGCAAAAATGGTGATCTCTTATGGTCCCTAACTAAGCCTGGTCTAGAGGGCTGGGAAAGAGAAGCAGTTCACTCGATGTTTTGTAACTTGCCCCGAGGTCACAATCCAGGACTGTGTTCTACACTTTAGTTTTAGCATGTGGATAGAGAAATTTAATTGTCCAGGGATATTTAAAATATTAAAGTAAAATGTTTAGAGATATTTAAGTTGTTGCACACACTGCCACAATATAAAAAACAACCCATGAACCATCTCTAATATTAAGATTTAACACATTGCTGGGTTAAAGCATGGACTGATGTCCTGTATGAATTCAAACAGCTAAAAGCTAATGCAGAAGCTGTAGTTTTGATTGACAGAACCACACAAAAATAATCATGCATCAAAAGAAATCAATAACATTTTTTTTCTAAATTCATTCGCTAGGAACTATAATCGTTGGACGCCACTTGATTTAGCAGCATACAAAGGTTGGACAAAAACATGCCAAGTTCTTTTGAAAGAAGGGGCCTCTGTGGATCTCACAGACAAAAACAAGGTAGAGCAATGACTCCCAAAGTTACTCAATTAAAGCTGATTAAAAATTGAAAAGTTCACTAAAAGTTTTTTTTTTTTTATGTTTGGGAACGCTAATCTGCACTTAATTTATAAAAATGTTTACTCTAGAAAATTGGAGAAAATTTTATTACAGCTTAGTGAATACAAAACAATTTTATATTCTCAAAATTAATTTGCTCTTTAAATTATAATAATTTAACACATAATTAATTATTCTAACAGCAGCTTTTTTTTTTTGGGCCTTCATAATGCATGTAACAAATTATTTTTAAAAAATGTTCAATTAATTTTTAAAACGTGGCTCACTCTGACATTGTTATCATGCTATAATTTGTACAGCTAAGCTATTGAAAATTGAGAGGAAGAAACCAGTAAAAGTTGTCACACACTTGAGAGTGCTGTCAACAGAACATTAAGTCTTTTTTTTTTCTATTAGCGTATGTTCAACACATGTATTTATAACAATGCCTTCAAATTACAGACAACCCCATTACATCTGGCATCAAGTTCTGGCCACTCACGGGTTGTGGAACTGTTGCTGGAGTGGGGAGCTAATGTCAAACTCAAGGACGGTCAAGGCAGGAACTGTCTGGACAGAGCTGTAGAAAATAATCAAATGTAAGCCTTCATTAAACTCTTTAGAACTCTGAAAACATTTGCCCTCAGAGTTATTTAGTTGTGCATCTTATTTTGATGTTATGTCACTTAAAAATATGTTTTTGATTGCCTATATTGAAAACTATGAACAGTTTTTGTAAAGATTTTCACTAGTGATGCAGCTGAGGTTTGCTCCACCACAGAGAAAAGTATATAAAAAATGTAAAATATTTCTTTCGTTATATTCACTCATGACTCATAAGGTTTAATGATTGTTTAGCAGTAAGTAGTATGAACGATCCACATGTGCACTCTTTGAGTTATATTTCCTGTTACAAGTGGGAGTCAATGGTATATAAAGTTATGCCATTTACATAATTTTTTTTTTTTACGAATCATTCATTTAAATAACTTGCTAAGTGCAACATAATGGAATATCTGAAAGTTGTTTTTTTTTTATGATTAAACTTTGGGTTCATCAGACTTGCAGCTAAAGCAGTCATCAACTCTCCTGTTTGGAAAGAGGCCCTTAGAAATGCCACCATGGATCCTATGACAGGTCATATTGAGACACCCATGCGAAAACTCATTAAACATATGCCAGGTCAGTTATCACAACCAATTAAGCACTCTTTACATATGTTAAAGGCCTTGGAAATTATCATTAAGGTAATTTTTGAAGAAATGCAAAGAAAAATTGTAATAGTAATTCACATCATAAGGATATTTACAGCCGATATGACTAAAAAATAATTTATCTCAAAAGCTTTTCTTCTGAAAAATGAGTAGTGTTCCTAAACCAAATCAGACATTTCTCTATTTTGTAATACAATCCTGGTAATAGAAAATGTGTTTCCATATCAGAAATAGCCCAGCGAGCTTTTGACAAATGTCTCAACTACGGCCATGAGAAAAATCCTGATAGATCCGAGTATGAGATCACATTTGACTATGAATTTCTGGATGACGTGTACGCTCCATGGATAGCAGAAGCTCTTGCTGGAGAGACTGGAAGTGCTGGAGATGCAACCCCTTCTTCAGGTTATTTCTAGTTTTCATTTTTTTAATATGCATCAATCCATATACTGAGAAATTTATTGACAAGCAAACAGTGACGTAGCTAGGATTAGTGCCACCCAGGGCATACCAAAACTCTGCAGTTGGCCAGAAATGACACCCCCAATAATAAGCCAATGTATATTAATACATTGGTCAATGGGACAGTAAGTGGTTTCATAGGCATCAGCGGAAATGAATTATACTTAAATCAGTTTGACCCACAACACTCATTTTATGAGATTTTATTTCCAAACTATGAATTTTGGTTTTAAGTTTCCCCATTAAAAAAAAACAAGAAAAAAACAGAACTCTAGAAGTAGAAAAATATGTTGTTTTTTGTGTTTTTTTTTTTACTATTACTTAGTTTCTAAAGTTAGTTAAGAAATTATTCTTAAATCTTAAGTCTATTAGAGCCACAGCTTAGCTCTTTCTAACAAATGCAATGTCTTTGTCCTTTATTTCATAGCTTCATAGTAATCGTATAGGAACAAAAATAACTTTTAAAGAATATTCTTTTCTATAATCACCCTTCCTTTTCAGGACAAACTAAAGTTGATTTAACAGAATGAACCATAAATTCTCTGTTCATGTATTTCTATCATTTTAAAGAATTCAACTCTGCAAAATATTTAACTAATGAACTAATGATCAAAATGAGATTAAAAATGAAAAACAAAATATGTTTTTATTGTTATAACTGACTTTTTGTTTTGTTTTCAGGAAGCTCATACGGCAGAGATGATGATGATGCAGCACCTCCTCATGCCCAGCCCTACTCAACTGATGCAAATGTCTTGAAGAAAAACCACCCTCTCTACATCATGGTAAATATACAATCCTGCTTGCCATTACAATCTTTTGGCACAGCGCTGATTCTAACACTGGTTTCAATTATGTTTTATAAACAAATTTTGAATTTTTAAAGTCAGCTGTTCTAATTTTGTTTTTGGCTAATTGTTTAATCCATGTTAATTCAAAAAGTTTAGTTACTGAAATCTGACTTGAAATGTTTACTGCTGAATCTGTCTATTACTTACTTGAAATATGTTGGTATCACAGGTTCATTGAAATAACTTTTTATTATGAGTTCATTGAAATATTTTGATATCATGAGCTCATGCTACTTTATTTAAATTTGTAGTAAGTTTAATTTTTTATTTTTTAAAAATAATTACTAGCTGGTCACTGTTAAAATTTATCGGTTGATGATATAAATGGTTTGAGAATCACTGCTGAGAATGCATTTACTTATTAACAGATCCTTTCTGAGAGAGAAAGCTTGCTGGCGCACCCCCTTGTCACATCACTGCTACAATACAAGTGGAATACTTTTGGGAGCTTCTTCTACTACCTTTCATTCTTCATCTACTGCATTTTCTTGGTATTTCTCACCGGCTACATGATCAGCAGCACCCCACCTTATCTCTTGTAAGTAAGCATGGTTGGTGTCTGAGCTGGATCAATGGAAAAAATGCATTGTGGGTTTAGGGGGAGTTTTTATATATAACTTAGAAAAGATTTTGTCTATTTCTTTCACGGGACGTCTTCAAAGTCATTTTTAACCAACTTTCCCATAATCTTGGGGAGTAAACATTTAATATACAGACTTGTGAAACATTTCAAACCATTGAAATAGGCTGCATTGTCCAATGATTTGTCCATTACAAATTTTTAACAGATAAATATTCAAAACAAATTTTTTTTTTTAAATAGGTGGGGGGGATTTCTGGCTTGGGGAGTCATGTTTGTGCCAATTTTTCAATAAAAAGGTGGAACCCTTATTAAAAAGAATCAAGTTTGACATACGGTAATTACTTCTTTTAAAAGGCCTGTGTTATAATACAACTACCAATCTTTGTTTTAATAAAGGTTTGTTATATATTTTTTTATAACCTGTTGAAAAAATCCTTTGGTTTCTATATTATTGTATTAAAAACAATATGAATTGATTATTTCAAGATAAGTCTCAATGTTCAAATTATTTATTTTTCCACAGTAATGAAACCGACGGCATCAACATTGAGAATAACAATTGCAGCCTTCTGTCTCAACCTTATCAACAGCCACTATTTGCTCGCATTGGAACATATGTCATCATAGTCCTTGCTGCATTCAATATGCTAAAAGAGGTAATTTTTGCTTGGAGTATTGCTGACAATCATGGAAGCCATGTCTATACTTATCATTTTTTCAGGCACACAATTTGTCATAAAATACTTAAATGTAGTAAAATGCTTGTTTTATTATTTTTGTCTTATTTATTCGTAAATTAATATATTCTATGGCTGTTTTGTTGCCGTTGGACTAAATTTTTTCAATTAGCATCAGAAATACACAAAAAAAGTTTTCAATATATTCAATAAGTATAACTTGTACTTTTTAACAATTTCAATTATGAATGTCATTTATAAATATTTTTTTGTCTCAAATTACTGAAATCTGACACCACAGAAATTAATATTCTTGTTAGTGCAGCGCAATAGCAATCAGACACTGCAGTACCTAGTAAAATCTGGCATAATACCTGACTCTCCTGACACCTCATGATAATGGGATGATTGTAATCCTGCTCATGTTTTCATCCCTCTCATCTCCAGCTCTTGCAGATCTACCAATCCAAGCTGAATTATATCGGCTTGACTAACCTGATAGAGTGGGTGGTGTATCTGACCGCTGTGCTACTGGTCATTAACTACAATGATTGTCAGAAGGAGACTGGTTACAGATTTGTGAGTAAATGGATTTTCATTCATTTGTTCTCTCTTGGAACACTCTACATTTTAATTGAAAATAAATTTACCTTCTTCTTATTTTTAATGATGCAAGTATAAATTAAAAGACTAAAATAACTGAACAACTGAACTTAAATTGATTTGAAACTGATGTTTGGACAGATTCTGCAAACTGTTGAGATGCATGCAGGCAAAGTTACATTTAAAAAAAAAATGTTTCTCCTATTTTTAAAACCCAGCAAATCTAAATTAATGATTTCTCATCCCAAGGAATGGCAGTGGAGCATGGGAGCCATCACACTGTTCCTGGCCTGGTTTGAGCTGGTGCTGCTGGTTCAGAAGTTCCCCAGATTCGGCATCTACGTGGTCATGTTCACTGATGTGCTGCACACCTTCAGCCAGTTCTTCATTGTCTTCTTTTTGTTTATCATTGCTTTTGCGCTCTCCTTCTTCACTCTCTTACAGAAAAAGGTGGGTGTGTCATTTTTATAATACAATTGAGTTTTAAAGTTGAAGTTGTTTTTCCTTGAAAATCTAGTTTTACATTGGTAATTGTATTAATAAATAATTTCAGGAAAACGGGAGACAACTGGCAAAACCTTTAAAGTATCAATTGTATAATTTTTAAAAATCTTTTTATTTTAACTTCTGTGATAATGTATTTATTTGGAGTTTACATGATTGGTAAAAAAAATAAAATATAATAATGAAAGGACTGGATTCAAGTAATCTTGAGTTGTTTACTGTGATCTGTTCCTTGTGATATTTTCATTTGTCCTGTGCGCTGAAGAAGGCACTATGCCGAAACGTTCCAATCTTATTGTCCTGTCCTTTAAATCAAGCTTCAACATACCTCATTTTGCTAAAAAAAAATATAGCATTGGAGATAAACACATTTAGAAAATACAAAACTGAATAAGAAATGTTTCTTTTGAGAAAATATTCTTTGGAAAAAATTAATTCCTTATGTTTTTGTTATATAGCTAAAGAAAAATCCCTGTGATGTGTTTCTTTTCTTTGCTGAGATGTTTTTTAATTTTAAAAAATTATGGCTGCAATGGCAATCCAGGGATTTGTATAATAAATCTCATTTTATGCATTCGTTAACCATAGCTTAAACTTTTTTATAAATATTCCCATTGTCCAATTCAGTTTCCCTTCAGTAGTGTGACCAAGTCACTCATCAAAACCTCTGTCATGCTGGTTGGAGAGTTTGAGTTTGATGACATCTTCAATGATCCCGAGACTCCCCTGATGTACCCTGAAGCGTCCTACATTGTGTTTGTTGCCTTCCTGATCATCATGAGCATAATCATCATGAATCTCTTGGTACTATGATAATTTTAAGTGGGCTTGAGATTAATTTAACAAGTGTTAAGCTAAAAAAAAATTTTGTCAGTGGGCCTATAATAGATTTGTTATAATTTTCATTATAACTGATTTATACATGAGTCAACCTGTAAAATGAAAATTATTGTATTTTCAAAAAGGGTAATTACTGTACCTTATTTTCAACTATGTGGAAAACCATTTGTTTATACAATTTTTGATATTTTTCAACTAAACTGAAAATGCTTGCATTAAAACAAATCTCCAATGGAAAAATTTCCCACTCATTTGATTACCACTTAAATTCTATGTACTGGGGAAAAATAAATAAAGTATCAATAGTACAATTTATTTTAATATCAATTATATCATATCTTTATAGCCACTTAGATAAAAAACAGCACTGTACACCTTATCACTGTACTCCTTATCACTGAACTCCTTATCACTGTTCTCCTTATCACTGTTCTCCTTATCACTGTATTCCTTATCCAATGTTTATTGTTGAAGACTTTTTGTCATTGTCTTGACTTACAGGTTGGTTTGGCAGTAGATGACATCAAAGCTGTACAAGAGCAAGCTGCGCTGAAGAGAATGGCCATGAGGGTGGAATTGGCTCTTGATGTTGAGAGGATCATCCCCCATTTCATCAGACGAAAGGTTTTTTCCCGTCGGAGGACCCTGCGACCCAATATGATACACTCAAATCCATTTCGACGTGCTTTCACCAGTTCTTATCTGAGCCCGCAAGCTTTGCAGAAAGCCCTCAATCCAGAACTTGTAAGTCTCTTCATTTAGTTTTGAAATAATTTTCTATATTATTTGTTAACTGAAAAAAAAAATTGTGTATTTTAATAGAAAAGAAGGAATTGTATGTAAGTTATATTATGATTTATGTCTCCAACATATTTTTTTTACCTCCCTTGTCTAGCTGTATGCATCAAAAGTTGTCGCAAATTTAATATGTAATTATGTTAAGAGCAATTGCACAGAAACTTTCTTTTAATTGCCTTGTCTCTTTTTCCTAAACATATCTCATTCCATCATTTCTTTACGTCCCTCATATAATGAGATCAATAGAATTGTTCTCTTAGTTTTAAATAAGCAGTTTGAGAAATTTTACTTTACCGTATATACTTGCATAAAAGCCTACATCGCATATAAGCCGACCCCCTAAAACTGCTTTAAACTGGCCAGTTTTTGCAAAAACCTGCATATAAGCCGACCATACAATTGTCTAATTTACTCCATATTTTTGGTTCATAGAAATTTGTTACTGTAAAGATGTAAAATACTTACTTTTATGTTACATACCAGTTTGTTTACCTTTTGGAATGACTCAAAAATGTGTTCTGCTCTTTCCACATTGTTTGCTATAATAATATCTGAACTTCCGCTCATAAATTGTTCACAACTAATGATTAACAAAATATATATTTAGAAAAAAATTATACATTTTGATATGAATAAAGACGAAAATTCTTTTGTTGTGTTTTATTTATTCACAAAAAACTATCACATTTCTTAAATTTCTATCATAGCATAGGAGAGTAGGAGTATATTTTGTTAGAAACACTCTACTGCACCCAGAAACTGACATTAGTATTGCAATTTTCCTTAGATCAATATTTAGTAAAAAAAAAAAAAAAAAAAAAAAAAAAAAAAAAAAAATATTTTAAAAAAAAAAAGAGATCGAGAAAGTCAAGACAAATCAAGACAGATTATCATCACAGATGAGAAAAGTCAAACAGTCTGTGAAAAGTATGAAGGAACAGAGTCAGAAGCTGGAGTCCATGATGAAGGCCATTGTCAAAGCTCAGAAGATTGAGTGGCTCGAAGAGGACTACCAGCTGGAGGAAGATTTTGAGCTGTCTGATGACGATGATGAGGGCATGCTTTAAAAATTATTGATACAGTCTTGTGGATATTTTTACTAGCCTGGATATTGATCTGTGTAAATTGTTAACTCTTGGAGTGCTGAAACAAATTACAGCCATAAGATTGTGTCTTTTTGGATATACCCAATAATATTGTAATTATGTGGAGTTAAGTGATAGAACAAATTTTGATTATTTATTTGATATGCATTTATTTCATATGATTTCATTTACTATTTCTAGTTTGTAAACATTTCATGTTGATTTAACTGAAAGATTCTCCTTACTTTACCCCCATATTTTAACACTGAGATTAAAAATGCCCTTGTTTGAGTGGTTAAATATACTCACCTCATATGTTTCACCTAATTTGTTTTTATCTTTTACCTGCCAAAATGATAATTTTTCTCATGTTGTTTTTTTTTCAAAGCCCTTTACACTCCACAACTTGATTTGCTAATAATATGCATCAGTTTACACTCACTGCCTCTGTTATCGATTTTATCAGATTTGTTACGCTTCATTTTTGTAAAATCAAATGTGCTGGTACACATACATCACATGTAGGCCATCTGCAATACTGGATCAAACAACGTCACTGTAGCATCATCAGATAAGAAAGATAATTCATTCACAGATGCAAGCACAAAGATTGACCTGAGTATTGTTTTCTTTTAATTTAGAGCATTTCATTCATCATTTTTGTTTTGTTTCAAGCCTGAAATTGTATAGAACTAGAAATATGTTTTTACTCAGTAGACTTGAGTTACTCATTTCCTCTCACTATGAGCAAACATTCTTTTTGATGTTTCCTTGCAGATGATTTTTGGAAGGCTTTATTCCACCTGTTGATTTTCTGGCATTGGATTTCTTGGTGCAATTTATCATGGTAATTTTCATAAGTTTTTTCTTTTTTTTTTTTTTTTTTAAATAATATTTTTGGGTACCTTTCTTGGGTCCATTATTTGTAATTTTGGACATGTCAGCCCTTAATAATTTTCTGGCATTGGATTTCTTGGTGCAATTTATCATGGTAATTTTCATAAGTTTTTTCTTTTTTTTTTTTTTTTTTTAAATAATATTTTTGGGTACCTTTCTTGGGTCCATTATTTGTAATTTTGGACATGTCAGCCCTTAATAAATGTGATGATATATATATTCAATGTTATTGTCCCCATTTGGGGTGTTAAGCTTTGTACTAGGGTTGCACTGATAAATCAGCAGATGAGTAATCATCAAAAGACTTTTTAGATAAATTTGTATCTGCCTCTTTTTAACCCAATAATCTGCTAATTAGTTTTTGTCTATCACAAAATCCTACGTGAACAATAGTTTTAAATCTAATTTGTCTGGAGAAGATCTTGGATAGTTTTATATCCTTTTTTCTAATGTGTGCCAAAAAATATTTGAATTTTCTTTCTTTTCTTTTTGTTTGGTGGTGAACTGTTTATTTTTTACTGATGTCATCTGTTTTTATACAGCGGAGCCACCACATACACTTTTACTATTTTTCTTTCTGTGATGTGAAGACATGACAGCTATAGGTTGTAAATGAACCCTTTTGATGTTCTTTGTCATTGGATTATTTCCTAGGTGTTATGATGGTTAATTATGTCACTAACCCAGGGGTGGCAACACCAATGCAAAGACGGGTCCTTGGAAACTTTCAGCTTGTCAGTGAAAAATTAATGCCACTTAACACATGGGAACCCATTTAATGTTCTGGATCCCACTCTTACTTTTTATTAAACTTATGTTTTTTTCCAAAAGTCTGAACATTCTCTGTTGGTAGTTATTTGTTTACTGCAGCATTTCTGTTGACTTTTAAATAACTATACAATTTTCATTTTTATACTGAGAGATTTACAAAAATGAGACTAAAAATAATAATGCTTTTTATTTCGTTTGAAGTGGTTGGGGAATTTTATTTTCTTCTTACAACTTTCAACAAATATCAAAAGCACTAGCATGATGCTTCACATTGGTTCTCTAGTAACAACACTCCACAGACAAGGACATACTGTATAAATATCTTGTTCCATTTTATTTATTACTATTTTTTTTCAATACCTATGTTGTGCATCAAGTTAATGTAGATTGTGCAATGCATTCAAATCATCCAGGTGGGGGTGGGTTGCTGTATGATGTATTATAAACACATGTTCCCAGCAGAGGATGAAGAGTGATCTTAGCTTCCCTTAAACCATTTTAGGTTAGGTGGCGCCTCTTTCAAATCATGAATATCTTTACAAAAACTCTATTCTTTTCAGATTCTGCTTGCTCCTAATATTATGATTAATTATGAATTGTTACAATAATTTATCAATTAATAATAAAAATACAAAGCACTGCATAATAAATCATCTGCCGCTGATTAATTGGGATTTGAAGATGTTGCCTAGTAATTTTTTTTTATAATCTGCCAATTTGCTAGTCAGTGCAACCCTACTTTTCTTTGCTTTGTTAAACTTAAAAAGGTAAATAAAACATTAGCAAAGAGGCAAAAGAGCTTATGTATTTGAAATTATAACTTTGTATTACATTTGTATACATTAGAAAATATTTTGTTGTTGAGAAAATAAGTTTAATTTTTCAACTCAAATGAAATTTGATATAAAAATGTTTTTCTACCCAGGGAGATATTAATATTTTGGATTTTTACATTTTTAATTCCTATCAAAGCTTAAATTCAAACATTTTTAAGGTTATGATTGAATACAAGTAATATTCGGTCTCAAATTTTGCAGAACGTATTTTGAAAAGGTAAACATTTATGTGTAGAAAGAAATAATTACTGTGCTTAAAACATATTTGATTTGCTATATTATTGCCCTAAAGTAAACCTTGCGTTAAACGTTCATGAACTGATGCCCAATCTTGTATGCACAGATATTATGGACCACTTGTCACTACCATACATTGGAATGTCCATATTTTCTAATAACATGAATTGGTACAATTTTTTATTTACATAAAGTGTATACGTACTTCAATCGTCGGTCTATTTAAATCACTGTAAATGTGTGTGCCTATATTTATTATAATTTTTAAACTAGTGATAGCTTCACTCAAGTGACAATCGTTTTGATTATTTTGGGTGTGGTTTTCCAGATTTTCTTATATTAAATGTTTATTTATTCCTTTTAAAAAAAACTAAGTTATGATACAAACCTGTACCACAGCTGCTGCTGAGGGGAAAAAAAAGTTTTTGTAACAGACAAGAGGAAGTCTTTAACCTTGATTTACATATATATATATTACCTTGCAAGTGAAATTAAATTATTTTTTTAAAACAACAAAGTCAATACTTTTTACTTTTAAAAATAAAAATAATTATGACTGGCAATTATAGAAAGAAAATGCAGCTAATTTTGATCCTAAAATATTGTCCTTGATGTTTTAAAGTTAATTAGCACACCCGTAGCAAAACCCTTTTGATATTTACATTTTAGATGACCCTAGAAAATTTGTAACATTTTTATTTTTATTTTGCAAAAGAAATTTATTTATCAGTACCCTTTCTCCTGTAGTATTTATTATCTGTCCAGTGTTATTTGTTCTTTAGTGTTCTTCACTGCACAAAATGCATTTCAATGTTTCTGTATAACATTTTTTTCATGGTCAAAATTTTGTATAAGAAAATTAAAATGCAGTAAAATGAGGATGAAGATCATTAAAATTAACCCAAGCCCTTCTCTCCCAATTTTAAAGAGTTGAGGGACATTTTTAAAAAATTATTTGATTAAATATAAGGAAATAAAAGCAGTGACAAGAGTGTATTTAAATCAAACATTGTCATTCTTAAATGTAAAAATTGAGTTGTAAAATTTGTTTTTAACCCGGTACCAGAAATCTGAACCATTTTTTATGCGTCATCTTAAGTATGTCCATTTTAACTATTTCATCCTTTATTTTAAATGTTAAGTTCTTGTAATGTATTACTATTGAAGCTAAATGAATATTGCTTACATTGATATAACTTTGATGTATATATCCCTGTGTTGCTACACACAGGATTAACTTACTAGATCACTAAAAAGATGTTATTTTTTCATAATAAATTGTTTCTTGAAAATCAAGAACAAATATTGGTACTGCCACCTTAATGGTCCATTTCAGTTTTTCCTAACATCATATTATTTCCCTTTAGACTCAAAGTGAAGTTTTTTTGTGTGTTTTTTTCTAACTTACTTAAATCAGTTCATTTGCCCTAAATCTCAAAATACTGTTGATGGTAATACAAACAGTATTAATTGATAACTAATGTTGTTGGAGGTTGTTGCCCTTTACCCCCTAGTCAATGGGAATTTCCCATTTATGTAATTTACTTTACTGAGGTAGAGTGTCATGCAGCGACAAATTCTTCCCCATTAAAATCTTAAAATTCTCATATATTTTTATACCAGGATTCTGCCCCAATCTTATGTGTAAAATCTCTATCTGAATTTTAGTTTGAAAAGGGAATATAAAATAATTTGTTTTTAACTGTAATGTTTTTTGTGACTCAAAATTAACTGGTGCTGCATTTATTTTCCAATGGATTTTAGTCAATATTTAAATTTTCACTTAACATTCTCATTGAGCAGGAAGTATTTTTTAGGGAAATTGGTCATTACCTTTTTGTGGCTGTTTATCAAGGGTATACTTTGACCACTTTTATGCTTTACCAGCTTTGTAAAGCTTATACTGACATTCAAAATTAGCCATAATAATGAATCCTTTATATTAAAAAGATATTCATAATATAATATTTCATTAATGGATTCAAGATAGATATTATCCATTAGTCTTTAGCATTGTGATTTTTCAAATTTTTTGAGATCTCACACTCCATGATCACATATTTCTGTGGTGCTGCTTCTCAAGCTCAAACAAAAGGCACAAAGCTCACTTCTCATTAACACAAATATTTGGACTATGAAAGAATTATTTTAGTAAATTGCTTATACATCTCA